ATGGTATTCCTTATTTGTATCACATTGAAATCGTACGACTGTCACGTGCGCCACCATGGGAATGCCCTTATTCTATGTCTTCTATGTCTATGTCTATTTCACAACCTCAATACGGGTTTTCTAAAGGAAAATCTACTATCAATAATTTATTGGACTTTACAACTGATGTCTCAAACCGACGTAATATGCACTGATTTCAGTAAAGCTTTTGACAAAGTATGTCACTCGTTACTCATCCGTAAACCCGACCTAATTTGCTTTCAGCCCAGTCTTCTCTTCTTACCTCTCGTATAGAACACAAAGAGTTAATTTTAAAAATTGTTCTTCCAACATCATTAAAGTTTCTTCAGGAGTTCCTCAGGGAAGCCACCTTGGTCCGATTCTGTTCCCGATATTCATTAATGATATTTATTCTATAATAAAATATTCAATGTATTGTAATGTATGTCGGTGACGTGAAACTTTTTAAAACATTGTCCTCTATCAAAGAAAGGTCTTCGTTACAAGCGGATTTAAGCAACGTGGTTAGTTGGTGTAATCCAAACTATATGCCACTAAGCCTTAAAAAATGTAGAGTTATGTGTTTCTCTCGAATGGCAGTTCAAACAGCGGTTTATTCAATTTCAAATTATAATCTGGAGCAGGTATCCAATTTTGTCGCTCTTGGTATCACAATGGATTCCAAACTCAATTCCAACCTTCATATTAATGTTGCAGTCAATAAAGCCAAAGGCGTTTTTGCATTTGTAAAGCGATGGTCAAAAGAGTTCGAAGATCCTTATGTTACAAAAGATCTTTTTACCACTATAGTTAGACCTATACTAGAATATGGATCCATTGTTTGGAATTTGCGTTTTGCATTGAGTGATTTTAACTGGGATACAGACTACAATCTCCCACCTTATACTAGTCGTCTAAAGCTCATAAGTTTGCCTACTTTCGCAAGTCGTAGAGAAATGCAAGGTATAATGTTTATCGTAAAATTAATGACAGGCTTGATTAATAGCCCGGCCCTTCTGGCTGAGGTAAATTTTAATGTTCCCTCTCGAATGTCAAGACACTTTCGACCTGTTTTTGAAGCCATGCAAAACTAATTTTGAACTAAACGAACCATTACGTTGTTTATGTCAAGATTGTAACTGTCATTCCAGCACGTTTGACATATCGGACTCGATTTCTGCTAAAAGAAAAACATCATTTCCACTCTCAATATTTGAAATAACAGTGAATAACTCAGTGTGAGGGCAGGACCAGGATGAATGTATTTGCATAAAAATTTATTAAAGCAAAAATGTTTTGGGTAGGCGTCGGAGCCAATGATAACCATCAGTTACCACCTCTGCATGGTTGTAAGTCATGCAGAGTCCCTACGGCTTGTAGCGCTGTGGCTTTGCCGCTTAAACTCTGTAAGAGTTTTTGGGGGTGTGCGTCAAGCGGAGTGTTGAGCACCGGTTATTTATTTAAGTTCAAAAATTGGGTAGGCGCTGTGGCCAATGGTAGCTCTTGTACCACCTCTGTATGCCGAAGGCAATACAAAGCCCCGTGAGACAACTCCGAGAGAGTTGTGATCCATCAAGCAAGTTTGTTGAGCATGATTTGGAGTGCCAGCAATTAACTACTTTAGTAGGTTTTGTTCTGCGGCAGTTGAGAAGTGCATTAAAAAATGCATACCCAATGAAGAACGAACGAATTATTTTTAAGCACAAGTGCGTGTGTTTATTCGCTGCACTTGGTTTTGGGCGGGAGTGCAATATACAAGTGCGTGTGTGTGTTCGCTGTTCTTTGTTTATGCGGGAAATGCATAAGTCGCTTAAACATCCTGGCCCCCCTAGACGACTTGTCGTCTAGTGGATGTAAAATAAGCCGCGAGTATCCGGCTCGAAGGACCATGAATAACTCAGTGTGAGGGCAGGACCAGGATGAATGTATTTGCATAAAAATTTATTAAAGCAAAAATGTTTTGGGTAGGCGTCGGAGCCAATGATAACCATCAGTTACCACCTCTGCATGGTTGTAAGTCATGCAGAGTCCCTACGGCTTGTAGCGCTGTGGCTTTGCCGCTTAAACTCTGTAAGAGTTTTTGGGGGTGTGCGTCAAGCGGAGTGTTGAGCACCGGTTATTTATTTAAGTTCAAAAATTGGGTAGGCGCTGTGGCCAATGGTAGCTCTTGTACCACCTCTGTATGCCGAAGGCAATACAGAGCCCCGTGAGACAACTCCGAGAGAGTTGTGATGCATCAAGCAAGTTTGTTGAGCATGATTTGGAGTGCCAGCAATTAACTACTTTAGTAGGTTTTGTTCTGCGGCAGTTGAGAAGTGCATTAAAAAATGCATACCCAATGAAGAACGAACGAATTATTTTTAAGCACAAGTGCGTGTGTTTATTCGCTGCACTTGGTTTTGGGCGGGAGTGCAATATACAAGTGCGTGTGTGTGTTCGCTGTTCTTTGTTTATGCGGGAAATGCATAAGTCGCTTAAACATCCTGGCCCCCCTAGACGACTTGTCGTCTAGTGGATGTAAAATAAGCCGCGAGTATCCGGCTCGAAGGACCATGAATAACTCAGTGTGAGGGCAGGACCAGGATGAATGTATTTGCATAAAAATTTATTAAAGCAAAAATGTTTTGGGTAGGCGTCGGAGCCAATGATAACCATCAGTTACCACCTCTGCATGGTTGTAAGTCATGCAGAGTCCCTACGGCTTGTAGCGCTGTGGCTTTGCCGCTTAAACTCTGTAAGAGTTTTTGGGGGTGTGCGTCAAGCGGAGTGTTGAGCACCGGTTATTTATTTAAGTTCAAAAATTGGGTAGGCGCTGTGGCCAATGGTAGCTCTTGTACCACCTCTGTATGCCGAAGGCAATACAGAGCCCCGTGAGACAACTCCGAGAGAGTTGTGATGCATCAAGCAAGTTTGTTGAGCATGATTTGGAGTGCCAGCAATTAACTACTTTAGTAGGTTTTGTTCTGCGGCAGTTGGGAAGTGCATTTAAAAATGCATACCCAATGAAGAACGAACGAATTATTTTTAAGCACAAGTGCGTGTGTTTATTCGCTGCACTTGGTTTTGGGCGGGAGTGCAATATACAAGTGCGTGTGTGTGTTCGCTGTTCTGTTTTTATGCGGGAAATGCATAACTCGCTTAAATAAACAGCTTTAGCATAACCAATCAGCTGATGAATTTGATTCTGTAGCTGAATAGTTTTAGTGTCGAGAACTTAACAAACTCCTGTTTCCACGACTCGGCACCAAAAAACACAAAAAAAAAAGATTCCGTACGTAATGCGGACTGCGCCCCTCGTGTCCGTTGGGCGGGAAAGGAGGGTAAAACCCGTTGGGATTAATTAATAAAATCCTCATCCTCATCTTTTTCTTAATATCCCTAGAATACTAACCTTATTTTTTATTCCTTTAATACTAACGTTCGCCTGTGAGGCTACTTTAAAAAAAAAATATATTTTGTCTTTTTAAAACCTTAAATTAATTTAAAAAATTGACTTAAGCATATTTCATATGTTTTTAAAGTAAAAAAATTAAACAATTTAATACTCTTTTTTAATATTAATAAAGTTAATTCGTATTGAACAATAACATATATTTTGTCATCTTTTTGGAAGAGGTCATTTTAGAAATTTAAAAAAAAAAATGTTTTTGGGCAAACGAATTCAAACAATCCATACATTTTTCTTAAAGGTACTCGTATTTACTTTCACACTTAAAAAGAATTAATTTTTTATCTTTTATATTGTGACTTGTACTTACAAATGAAATCGACTTGTTTGTATCACATTGGGCCTAATGAATAAAAACTAAGCAATTGCTTTTTCTTCAAATTTCAGACCTTTTACGTAAATGTATTTGAATAATTCGAGCAAAAAGTTTAAAATCTTAAGAAAAAGCGCAGCTTAGTTTTTATTCATTTTTTGCTAAAAATTGCTTGTTTATTTCTATCGTATATTTTGCCTATAATTAACAATCTTAACAAAGCGGTCCAACCTGAAAGCTCTCGTTTGTCATACTTATGTGCAACTATCAAAGCATATTATCTCTTAATTTTGAGTAACTTTATTAAAAAGATGCGACCGGTAACAATATTAATATCAGTGGGATTCATGAAACGTCGCAAAATTGTTGCAAATGTGGTATTTATTAGTTGAAAAATTTTCCACACACACGACACAGCTGATTACTTTTGTATGAGATTTTCTTGCGACAAAGTTGCGTCATTTCCATTTAATTTGAGCTGGCAATCATTGCAAAGACAAAGTCGCGAAACACATTATTTTTTATTGTATTCGAATACTTCAACAAAAACTATATCAGTTAAGGTTGCTTTTAAATATAATTGTAAAAACTTTTATTTTTTACTTACGCGCGGCGTTTTAAAAAAATTGTACATTTCAAATCCGGAGTTGCAATAGGTCGTTCATACAACTTTATTTGCAACGTTTTATTAATCGCACTATTCGTTTCAAAAATGACAATAATCAAAACCAATACCTTAAAGTTTTACATAGAGTTTTTGGACCAAAAAAATTTAAGATTCGATTTAAAGCGTGAAGATGCAAGACTTTTACAAATAATAAAACCAGCTAAGGTAGTTTTAATTTTAGCTCTTTTGTTAAAGTTTCGACATCTCATAGATTGCGATCCTGATATAATAACCACGCAGTGGAATTTACTGAGGCTACGTGAGCTTGATATTTCCAGCGATATGGATATTGATAGGTTTTGGGAAAAAGTTTATTAAAAATGGAATGAAAGAAAATAACTCCATGTATCTCGCCAATTTTGTTTTTAATATAATTTCATTACCACATAGCTCTGCGGCTGCAGAACGCAAATTTTCAACGCTTTCTTTGATAAAAACTAAACCAAGAAATAAACATAAGACTGACTATATCAATAGCATAATGTTATGCAAGGAACAAGGCAATTGACCCGCACTATATGCGTTCAGATGCTAAAGATTTGCATGTGTAATTAACTGATTTAAATTTAATTTTAAGAAATTAAACCTATTGGGAGATAACATGTAATTATGTATATAATTCATAAAACCAAAAAATGTTAAATGATCTCATCTCTGTGTCTAAGACCTGTATTTATTTATTTCTTGTTTGTTTTAAAATGTACAAAGTACATATTGTCGTTTAAAGTACAAAACCGCGTATGGTTATTCTGCAAAACCGCGCAACTGACATTTGCTGCCAAAAATTGTATTTGCTCACCGAAGCTCTTGGCGGAATCTATATCCATTCGTCCTGAAATATACTAGCCAGAAATGCGATTGCTTTATAAAAAGAGAACCATTTTGAAATATGCGTGTTTTAACTATCTAGAAAATAATTTATGCAACCGCACATACGCGGTTTTGCATTATCTTGATAAGCGGTTTTGCATTTTGTTATAATAATAATAATAATAATCCCAACGGTTTTTACCCTCCATTCCCGCCCATCCGCACGAGGGGCGCAGCCCGCATGACGTACGGAACCAATATTTTAAATTTTTGTGCCGAGTCACGATAGGCAGGAGTTTGTTAAGTGTCGAGATCTAAAACTGTTCAGCTACAGAACTAAATTCATCAGCTGATTTTATGTATTTATGTCAATAATTCACTTATTGAGAGAGGAGAGTATCGCTTTCTTAATGCTGAAAAGCGGATTTGATATATCAAACGTGCTGGAATGAGTTAAAATCCTGGCATAAGCAACGAAGTGGGTCGTGCAATTCAAAATTGGTTTTACAAGCTTTCAGAAATATGGGACAAAAGTGTCTTGATACGCGTGAGGGAACATTAAAGCTTACATCAGCCAGAAAAGACGGACTTGAAATTGAGCCTGTCAGTAATTTAACCATAAAAATTATACCAAGCATTTCCCTGCGACTGGCAAGTGTAGGAAGGTTAATAAGTTTTAAGCGACTCGTATATGTATGTATGTAAATGTTTTGTATTCGAATTGTTTTTCAATGTTTGTCAAGTTTTTTCAGTCTTTAGATTCATTTTATAATAAAAAGTTCCCAAACTGTTAAGCTACGATTTTATTATTTAACTGGTGCAGTCAAAGAAACGAAAACCGAACAGAGGAACACGCCCATATATTTATTAAAAGGACAATTAAAAAAAAATATTTTATATAAAAATTTTTGCAAAAAATATATGTATAACGTGGAAAAAATAAAGATCCGTGTAATTTATGGATAATATACATAAATATGTATAATATAATTAAATATTTAAATGTGGTCACAAAAAGTTAACTCCAATACATAAACCAATAAAATAGAGGATAACATATTTCAATGAATGATCTTATGAATGATGCACGCAGAGTGCATGAGTTCAAAGGTGATGGTACATATGCTCTCTCTGCATATTTAAGAGAAGTATATGTTATATTGTCGATGCTGTATACAAATCCGACTGCATGTGAATACATTTTCCCAAGAGTCATCCTTAATAAAATACAAGGTAAAGCGTTACATACTATTAGAACATTACCAGCTGATGCAAATTGGACTACAATTATCCTGATTCAAAATTTTCGCATTAAGGAGTCATATCACCAACTTTATCAGGAGGCATTTGCAGCTCGTATTATTAATATAATGAGCTATTATACATTTTTATTAGACACCTTATCAAAACTAAATGAAAAATTTGAATATGATAGTAGCAAACCATTAGAATTTAGCCCTATATATACGGAAAAAATTATTTTACGAACATTTTTAAATAATATTGAAGCCAATTTAGCTTCTGCTATAATTAACATAAATGTGACTACATTGAGAGAAGCTTTTAGTTTATTAGAAAGTGAAGGCCTGATTCGTAATAATGGTAAAATTGGTAATGGAATGAATAGAGAAGATAACTATAACTACATATATAAAACATAATAAATATTCGCATGTAAATTATAATAACAAATATAAATGATCAAAATTTTCAAAAATATCACAATTTTAATCAAAATAGTAATTCCTGGCCAAGACAGAATATTAATAATTCACGTCAATTTACGTCTCAAAATTTTAATCAATATCAACGCAACAATAGTACGAAGTTTAGAAGAGAAGTGTAGTGGAGCCAATGGATACAGATTATGTGCAAGTGGACGAAGTAAAAATAAATGAGGTTTCAAATTTTCATGCAATGACCGAAAGGGAACATTACCAATAGTAGAATTAACTCTAGGAGATGACAAAATTTTATGTTTAATAGATACTGGCTCATCCACTTCACTTTTAAATGAAAGTTTGTTTCCGTCTTATAAAAGAATTCCGCTTAAAATTCCTTTGAAATTAAAATCTCTTAATAGTGAAACTAAAATAAAATTTGAAATAATTACTGATGTACCTAAAGAATTTAATAAAAATGCAACAATGTCATGGAAGTTGACAAATTTTGAAAGCAAAAATTTTGACGCGATTCTCGGACGGAATATTTTAAAACCTCTTGAAGCAATTATAGAAATGGAAAAGGATACTATTATTATAAATAATTGTAAAATTGAATTTAAAAAGGAATATCCGTTTAAATTAGAAGAAATTCATCAACTAGACATGATTAATTTAAATGAAAAAGTTACTAGACATTTATATGAAAATTTGAATTATGAAGAATAAAATGCGTTAAAAAATATTCTACATAAATATCAGGATTTAATTTACACTGAGGGTCAGTAATTAACTAATACAAATATTATACAGCATGAAATAAAAGTAACTACCGATAGACCAATTTATTCAAAAATTTATAGATATCCACAAATACACGAGAGGGAAGTAACCGAACAAATAACTGACATGCTTAAGCAAGGTATTATAAAAGAAAGCAACTCTCTATAATAGTCCTCTGTGGATAGTACCGAAGAAGACAGATATTACTGGAGAAAAGAAATGGAGAATTGTTGTGGATTATAGAAAGTTAAATGAGACTACAATCGACGACAAATTCCCAATTCCGAATATTGACAGTTTATTGGACAAACTTGGACGAGCACAATATTTTTCGACGGTGGACTTGGCAAAAGGTTTTCATCAAATTCTTGTTAAAGAAGAAGACCGGTTGAAAACTGCTTTTTCCACAGCCCATGGACATTATGAGTATGTTAGGGTGCCTTTTGGCTTAAAAAACGCTCCAACAACGTTCCAAAGGCTATTTAATAGAATTTTGAAAGATTTAATCAACAAAATATATGTAGTATACTTGGATGATATACTTATATAATCAAGCTTTGCCGAACATATTGAAAGCATTAACAAAATTTTGTGTAAGTTACGGGAGGCTCAATTAAAAATACAAATAAATAAAATCCCAGCCAGCAAAATCATCGTAAACAAGCTCGTAATTGGATATTTTCTCGAAGAAAAACCGGATTAAAAATCGTTTATGATAGCCGTTTACGACTCTTTTTCGAGCACTTTTTCGCTTTAAATTGTGCATCGCCTACGAACAGTCGTAAACGGATCGAAAAAGCATTCGTAAGCGAATATTTTTACGTCCGTTTTTTAATTGTAAACGAGTCTCGTAAAAGCGTTTTTTTACACTGCTTTATCTACTGTTTTTGAATGCTAAAAATAAAGGCAATTAATTAATTCAAATTATTGTAGTTCTTTTATTTAATGGAATTATAATTAATAAATATTTATAGTGCCGGATCTAAGTATTGGCATAGAGAATTTTTCGCAATGTATGCAAAGTTTTTTACTTGAATTTATTTTCGCACATTATTTTTTTTAAATATAGTTAGTACTTTCAAATCAGATTTTTGAGAAAAGATTCTAAGTATGCAGTTTTATATCCCATTATATTTTAGTATAACATAGTGCAAGCTTGAAGTTGCCAGAAAACCGAGTTGATTTTTGGCAATTTTTTCACGCAGTTTCTTCCATGCAAATTATTTGCGACATTTTTTTTTTGTATGGAAGAAACTGCGTGTAAAAAATTGTCAAAAAACAAAGAGGTTTTCTAGCTATTCAAGTGTGCACTTTATTATACTAAAATTAAATGGGCTATAAAACTGCATACTTAAAATTTTTCTAAAAATCTGATTTGAAAGTAGAACTTCTTACTAACTATATTTTTATAAAAATCAATTAGAGAAGAAATCAGAATAAAAAACTTTGCATTCATGACGAAAAATTCTCTGTGCCAATATTTTTTTCCGGCACTGTATATGTGAAGATATTTTCAGACAAATAAATATTAACAAACTGTCTATTTCCAAATTAACAATTAAATAAGAGGGGTTTAATGTATATTATAAAGTAGCTGAATTAATTTTTTCTTTTTTGCGGATAGGCTGCCAATTTTTTTTGCCGGTCGTGTGCATATTGGAAGTGCTTCTTTGAAACGGAAACTTGTCGGAGTTAAATTTTTGACGAAAAGCACCTAAAAAAATAAAGTTAAAGATTAAACTCCATTGGAAATCGGAAAATTGAATTAAATAAAAAGTGGTAATAAATAATATTATAATCAGTACTTCTTATTGCCGCAGTCGTTGCCAAAGCAATAGCGTTGCATTTGGTACCAGTTCCCTTCCACGAGAAAAGTTCTGCTACCTCATCTGTAATAATTTTCCGCCAGTACGTTCTTAAACATTTATCTACATTTAAAATATTTATAGCTTCGAGTTCAGAAACCTATAAAGTGTTTAAAGAATGCAATAAAAATTATTTTATTATGGTTAATTTATGTTTTTAGTTACCAATAATTGTTGTTTTTCACTTGAACTCCCAAGGTCTTTTTCAAATTCCATAAATGCATGCTTTTCCTTAAATGGGCTTCTTGGCAGGACGCCCTCTGCAATGGTTGGTCTCTTATTGTTTCGAAGGGTACCATTTTCTTTCCTTAAAGCAATCACCTCTGAAAATAACCGCTCCAAAACAGCTCCAATTTTTGCATCCATCTGATTCACTTTTTCGTTTAAGGGGTCCACGGTTTTTTTTTTAAGAAAGTGGTAGATCGTCCTTTGCGTTTGCACCAGTCTGCCAATAAATCACATACTTAATAATTTTCTTAAATTAAATATTTAACAAACTACTTACTTACAAAATATTGTGATTGAAGAAAAATTGTCAACAAAACTAAAATTTTTTCTTGTGCTGACAAATTATTACAAGCCTCTTTCTATTATATTTTTTTGTTTTATCGTTTACGAGCTTTTCTCTAACTTTTGGCGATACGAGAATCCCTCGTAAAACATAATGTTTCGTAAAATGTACGTTTTCTTGCTGGCTGGGATATAAAATAAATCAAAAGAAACTCTTTAGTTAGGCCATGTTTTGACACCCGAAGGTGTAAAACCAAATCCACAGTATACAGTAATCCAGATAGGCAAAACAAAAAATGTAAATATGCTTATTTGACAATTTATTTGAATGTATTGGTTGATATTTTTTCACAGTTGTCGTTTTCTTTAACCCAAATGAAATCCAATTTCAACATTTTCTTATAGTGGAAAATATTTCAAAGTAACATAAAATAAAACAACGAGAAAAACAAAATTCCTAGCAAATCAGGCTTGCAGCGCACAGTGTAAGATTTTACCCATCTCTCTGCTTTTAATTCTGTAATTCGAAAACTATGGAAGATAGATTAATGAAATTTTTCACAAGGTATCTTATAAGATAGGCGAAGCTTTTTACAAAAAATTGGTCATTTAGAGTTACTGCCACGTCACCCTATTATATAACTGCAATTTTTAAAACGGCAAAAACTGAAATATTAAACTAACTACAAAGGCTAAAATACCCAAATTGATATTTAGAATTTCCCTACAACAATGAATTGTAAACTGACAAAAATGGACTTAAAAATAAACTTTTATTTTTTTAATTATGTGCGGGGAAAATATCGATAAAAAACCAATTTGGGTCAGCGAAATTCCGTTATAAGTTCAATATTTCTTTCTCTATTTACAAAAGTGGGATACTGTTGGGAAGGTTATGAATTAGGCTTTCTCTATTCAAAGCGGAAATAAAAGAATTTGTCTCGGCCGAGATGAAATTCAAAGAAATTACTCGAAGAAAATGAAATTCCTAGTAGGCCTGAAAAATTAAAATTTCATTAAAACCTGCACTTTCCAGCAGCTAAAATTATGTTGTTTAAAGTCAAAGAGGAGTGGTAAATAAACTGAGATACAAATTTATCGAATAGGGGCGGATAACGAGTTTGCGGGTCTAATGAAATTAATAAATTGCTAAAAATAAATCTAAATTAACATCGTTTTACTTTAACATGAAATACTCAGTCCTGGTTTACTAAAATCCGAAAAATGTATATTTTTTAATGAATACCCGAAAAAAATAAGACCAAAATGGTATTTTAGCAATTGTTGCATAAATCACATAACGCCAACAAATTAAACATTGAGATTCAGTTTCAAGTATACAATTTTAGATAATACTGCGCTCGGTAATCTTCCAAATCGATTCCCGTCCCGCCCTACACTTTGGTTTATATTTTGTAATTGTTATTGTTTCGTCTTTAGCAGGCATTTCTAAAAACATTGTTGACGTTGTTTTGAAATTTGGCGACATAAAATAACGTAATTAATATTTTCTAGAATGTGGAAATAATACACTGTGCAGCGTAAGCGATTATAACCGGATGCAGTTCCTACATAAGTCATATCTGGTTACAAACACAACTTTGAGTGAATAATGGTGGGCTGATTTTGTAAAGTTGACCCATAAATTAGGGAGTAAAACAAGTATTACTTAGCTTAAAGGTAGAACTCTCTAATATACCACTCTTATAGTGGACACCTCCAAAGTTTTTATGAAATATGTACCCAAAGTTATAAATCGACGCTCGAACTAATGCAGGAAAGGTTTATGCAGATAAGCAAGGCCGTTTTTCAACGGTATAAAATGTACATACACATATTCTTACATACATATTTATCAAAATATTCAGAATGACGAAATGAATTGGTTCAGTCGTGTCTGTTTGTAAACACGCTAACTCGAACAAAATTTAGATATTTTAACGAAAGTCGGTGCCGAAGTTGCCTTTGGTACAATTTAGGTTAGAATTAAATTTTGGTGAAATCTGTATATAACCACAACCACCTCCCATGTAGTAATCAACAATATTTTTGTCTTATTATTTTTTTTTTACGAATTTCGCTGTTAAAATTTACATTTCAAATATATCAACAAACATTTGGGGGTAATTTTGCGCCCGTCATTGCCTATGGGTTAATGACAAAATAATCCTATACATGCACAATATTTCATGTATTAAATTTCAAATAAGCATATTGTCAATAGCTGGTTTACTGTATACTGTGACCAAATCCAGAAAAAGTGAAACATATATTCAGTGTTGCCATCTTCTGATTTTCAAAAAGCACCAAAAACTTGGAAAAAAGCGTTCACCACAATAAAAGCACCAAATTTTTTTGAATCAAGGGATGCTTTTTTCATAACATAATACCGAAGTACTGCACATTAAAACTGGTATATCTCGAGAAAGAAAAATCGAATCGCATCAAACGAAAATGATGCCCTAATTAGAAATGAGCAAATAATTTGATGTTTTCATTATGTAACCTCAAATATCGCTAAAAACCGTGTTTTTGGCCCTTTGAGGTTGAGATATCTCAAAATTCTAGTGCGAGAGCAATTGTGAGGCCAGATTTGTATTCAGCACCAAGAAACGATGTGTTTTACTCAGGTGGTAAAAAAAACCAAAATTTGTACAAATAATTAGAAAAGAAAAAAACAAATACTTAACTTATTGCGTACTAGCATTTTCAACGCGAATAGAATTTAATAAGGTGGGTTTGCAACTTCAGCTTTTTATCAATCGTGGTTGTATTTTAGTCCATTTAAATTTGTAGATTCTTGTAAATTCAGTGCTGCCACAGCCTTAAATATTCCAAATTATAATAAAAAGTTCCCAAACTGTTGAGCTACGATTTTATTATTTAACATGCGTTTTACTTTGCCTAACATTGGTTATGGACCCAGCACTGGCTCTAGTTCGCTGTCGGTAGTAAATTCGTAAAATAAGCGTGCGTCGCTATTGATCTATAAAAATAATTATAGGAATTTAAATGAAGTAAAAATGAGCGCGTCAGGACTTTACGCAATTGAAAAATTAAATGAAAATAACTACGCTTCCTGGTCTATCCAGATGAAAAGCGTGTTAATACATAACGAACTTTGGTCGGTAGTTTCTGGGAAGCTGAAGAAGGATGAAGAGTCCCAAGAATCGATAGCGGCGTATGAGACTAAAGCTGAAAAGGCTTTAGCAACAATTATATTGTACAGCAAAACTTCTACTGAAGCTTGGAACAAACTTCGAGATATATACCAGCGAAAAGCACCGAGCACGAGATTTTGTGCATAATTTTGTTATCCAGCTTACCTGAGGCTTACGACAATTTTGTTGTGGCAATAGAAGCACGCGAGTCATTCCCAGTGTTAAGCACATTAAAAGTCAAATTAATAGAAGAAGGGGAGCGACGTATGGAAAAGGTAGATGCGAATCTCAGCAACGGTAACCTGGCATATTTTGCTGGAAGGTCAAAGAAGTCAAATGAACAAAGCGGCAATGTCAACAATACCAAAAAGAAAAGTGTCAAGTGCTACAACTGCGGTATGCGGGGACACCTCGCTTCAGAATGCAAAAAGAAAAAACGGGACAGTAGAGAGCTTGAGAAAGACTTCAAATTGTCGATGTTAGTTGGAGCAGCAACAGCAAATGGTTTCGCATTAGCGTGGAAGTCTTGGTGTTTGGACAGTGGAGCAACAACACACATGTGCTGTGAGAGGCAGTTCTTTACCTTTTTATCTCCGATTGCTGAAAAAGTTTGGCTCGCCGATAACAATACAGTCGAGGCTTGCGGTCGCGGTAACATACGCATAAAGGGTGGCTCAATGACATTGACAGCAGAAAACGTGCTTTACATACCAGCTCTTCAACATAATTTTTTGTCCGTTGGACGAATTACTTCAGATAAAAGCACAGTGCAGTTCTTCGAATCAGGCGCTGTAATTAAAAATGAATGTGGACTTGTTCAACTAAGAGCTCAGAGAAAAAACGATCTTTACGTATTTGAGTGTCAAGTAGGTGACGAAAAGAAGTGGAATTTTGCCAATAATAAAAAGAATAACGTAATGAGATGGCATAACCGGTATGGACATATGAATTTAGAGCTTTAAGACAAATGGCAAACGAGAACATTGTGCTCGGACTTAAACTGAATGATTGCAACAACACTGACGCGTGTAAGACCTGTGCTAAAAGTAAAATCTGTGTGAAGCCATTTTTATCATCAGAGAAGAAATCGAATAAACTATTCGACATTATCCACAGTGATGTCTGTGGTCCTATGAACAAAAAATCTTTTTCGGGCTACCAATACTTTGTCGCGATACATACATGTTACTTTATTAAAAAATAAGTCGGACGTTTTTGCGGCTTTTAAGTAATTCAAAGTAAATGCGGAGCGCGAAACCGAATCGAAAATCAAGATTTTACGGAGCGATAACGGGCGCGAGTACTTGAATCAGGCGTTTGATAGTTATTTAAACGAAAATGGCATAAAGAGGCAGACAAGTGTGCCATATATGCCGCAACAGAACGGCATTGCTGAAAGAGCGAACAGAACCCTGGTTGAAATGGCAAGAAGTATGCTGGTGTACTCCGGATTGGATGAAGCATTTTGGGCGGAAGCCATCACAACGGCAGCATACATACGCAACAGGTCGGTTACTAAAACTCTTGTAAATAAAACACCATTTGAAGTCTGGAGCAATAGAAAGCCTTCAGTGTCACACTTCAGAATATTTGGTTCTCCAGCCATAGCTCTGGATAAAACAGAGAAGCGCAAATTCAGGGCTAAGGGAAAAGAGATGATTTTCGTTGGCTATTCAGAGCAGTCTAAAGCGTATCGTTTAGTAGATAAAAACACTAAGAAAGTGGTTGTTAATAGAGACGTTATTTTTCTCGAAGACATGATGAAGACTTCATCTGATTTTGTATATTTAGA